AGCCAACAGGCATTGCCTTTACTGTGCAGTAATGATCAGTTACTAATTTATTTGTATATTTGTATGTAACTTTCTAAAGTAGTCTGATTAAGTCTGTCTTGAACTCTGTATGCTTATGCCTGTGAGATTTTTGTGGTTTGGAATTATATGAAAATAACTTGCTTATTCCTTTTTTGTCTCTTCTTTTAAAATTGAAATGGATTATTGGGACAACTGCACTTTCACATAGACTGGTTTTGTTTTCCTTACGTGAAGTATTCCTTTGTTTTTCCTCTTAGAAATTGTCTCAAATCAAATGGCACCTCCTGGGGATACTTCTAATGAGATAGAGCATCCTGATTCTAGAGTCACCGCTTCCCAACCAAAGATGGTAAGAAAAGATGAAGGTGAAAACCTGGGCCCTCATTTACCTGAGCTACCTTCCATATTTTCTTTTTTTCCAGACAACTCCATTAAAGAAAAGCAATCTGGCGGCATCTCTGGTTCCTTTGGAAGAGGACAGTGGTGATACCTGTGCCATCTGTTTTGAAGAGTGGACGAACGCTGGGGACCATCGTCTTGCTGCATTGCGCTGCGGGCATCTCTTTGGCTACAGCTGCATTAAGAGGTGGCTGAAGGGTCAAGTAGGCAAATGCCCCCAGGTAAAAGTCTTTTAGCAAGAAAGACTCATTTGTAATAAAAAGGAATTGGTTAGGAGTGGTTGCAGGAAGTTTAAGTGACTTTTGTGAAGTGAAACAACAATTTTAGTCTTAGCTCAGCTACTAATACATTTGTATTAGAATATTTTGGATGCAGGTGACCTTTTCAGCTATTTTTCCATGTTACATTTAAATATAGGTAGTCCTTAACTTGCAACAGTTCATTTAGTGACTGTTCAAAGTTACAACGGCACTAAAAAGTAACTTATCACAGTTTTTTCACGATCTTTGTAGTATGCCCATGACCATGTGATCAAAGTTCAGATGCTTGGCAATTGGTTTATACTTATGATCATAGCTGTGTCCCAAGATCACGTGATCCCTTTTGCAGCCTGTGGACAAACATCAATTGCAGTGATTTGTTTAACTGTGGCAAGAAAGGTCATAAAATGGGGCAAGACTCACTTAACAAATGTCTCACTTAACATAAATGTTGCGTTCAATTGTGATTGTAAGTCAAGGGCTACCTGTATCCACTGGGGGATGCCAGAACTTCAAGGGAGGAACTAGTTCTCTTTCTTCAGCTATTTAACAGAACGTTGCAGAGCTTAGGATTCTAAGGGGAAAAGGTGCCATTAACATTCAGGAGAACTACTTATTGTTTGCAAATTGCAGCGGACAGTGCACACTACACTTGGACTGTTGGCTGTGGAGGCTTGTTGCGATAAAAATCAGTAACCAAAGAAGATTTAAACCAGATTACTGGTCTCTTGCATTCAGACAAGATTCTTGCATGGTAAATTTACCAAAATAGTTTAAAAGTGCACAGACACTAACAGAAGAGCCCAAATAAAGAAAAAGAAATGCTTTACATTTGATAAGGAAAGAAAGTAACCACAAGCACAGGGTATCCCTCATGATGTGAAAACAGTTCAGACAATTTTCCTAAAAAAGGGACCATATTTCATGTGTTTGTTGAGCCAAGATTGTAATTGTTATTTCTTATAGCAATAGCACTTAGACTTATAGACCGCTTTACAGTGCTTTATGGCCCTCTCTAAGCAGTTTACAGAGTCAGCCTGTTGCCCCCAACAATCTGGGTCCTCATTCTACCCACCTTGGAAGGATGGAAGGCTGAGTCAACCTGGAGCCTGGTGGGATTCGATCTGTCAAATTGCAGGCAGCTGGCTGTCAGCAGAAGTAGTTTGCAGTACTGCACTCTAACCATTGCGCCCCCGAGGCTTATTCTGAGAAGCTGGCCCTTATTCCTGTCGTAAAGGATAGGAAATGATATTGGGGTGGGTGGGAGGTGGCAGCTTTATCCCCAAGTCCTGTCCTTTCAAAGCCTGAATTCTGTGACCAGTTAGTCACTAATAGGCAGAGTTGGCACAATAACAAAACCTCCATTCTGGAGAATGTCATATGAGCAATAGAGAGGAGGACATGCAGGAATGTGAAGAAAAATACAGGAGTGATAACCTGATGATGAGTAAACACGTAGATGTTCTTAGCCAAACCACCACAGCTGAGCAATAGATTATTTGTCAGAAAGTGACTCACTTTCATTTTGTGTTTTGTTTTAGTGCAATAAGAAAGCCAAACACACGGATATTGTCGTCCTTTATGCCCGTACTCTGAAAGCACTGGACACCGCTGAACAGGAAAACATGAAAAGGTGTTGATGCAGGATCACTTTCATTTTCCTAGATGAAATTGCATGCACATTTATGGTCCAAGGATCAGGCCAAAAGAATTTTTCATTGAAATGTGTTGTGCACAGAATAGATCAACCCAGCTTCCCTTAAGACTCTTCTTTTTGTGTTCCTGTGAGGTTTTAGGGGCTTTATGGGGATCATCAGGCTTTGACTGAACCCTGGTAAGACCAAATGGCTTTGGATGCCTGAGATCTGGGACTTTGCCGTCTTTAATTCTGGGTGGGCTTGCACTTCCTCAGACAGATCCAGTCTACAACTTAGGGTTCTCCTGCACTAGCAATTCCTGCTCAAAGAGCAGGTGGCAGGTGCAGCTAGGGGAGCCTTTGTGCAACTTTGGGTTCTGCACCAGTTGTGGCCTTTCCTGGATCAGGAGTCCCGTCATTCAGGCCCCAGTCATCTCACGGCTGGACTATTCAAATGCGCTCCACATAGGACTACCCTAGAAGAGCATTCAGAAGTCACAACTGGTGCAGAGTGGGCGGGTGTGGACAGTTCTTCAGGCCCAAAGAATGGCCCGTGCAATGCCACTGGCCCGTGAGTTGCGTTGACTGCCAATTTGCTTCTGGGTGCAATTCAAGGTGTTAGTAATCATCTTTAAAGCCCTTCGTGGTCCAGGCTACTTGAGGGACCGTCTCATCCCACTGGGATTGGCCCGTCCCACCTGTACCAGCAGAGGAGGGATGCTGCAGGTCCTATCAGCCTGATTGTTGCGACTGGTGGGATCCAGATGAAGGGCCTTCTCTTTTATTGCACCTGCCCTAGGGAACAACTCCACCCCCCAGCCCATGTGATGTCAGTCGCAGCCCTCCTGGTCTATAAAGATGTTCCCAATGGGGAACTTCATGTTGGAGGTGGTTGATTGATTAACAATGGATCCCTCCCTCCTGCTTCCACCCTCCCATCTTTTAATTGGGCATGTTCTGGATTTTATATTAACTTATTGATGTTTTTAGTTTATAGAGTTTTTATTTTTTATGATTGTAAGCCAGCCAGTGTTATCTTGAAGTACAGTGGGTGGCCTATACAGTTTACAACTAAATAAATGTAAGGTATGCAGATTGGAGCTGGAAGAATCTTGTGTCACAGGTAGCCCTCGCCTTACAAAAGTTTGTTTAGTGACTGTTGAAAGTTACAATGGCACTGAAAAATGTGACTTATGACTATTTTTCACACTTATGACCATTGCAGCATCCCTGCGATCAACCAATCAAAACTGAGACACTTGGCAACTGACCCATATTTATGATGGTTGCCATATCCCAGGTCATATGATCTCCTTTTGTGACCTTCTGACAAGCAAGGTCAATAGGGAATCCAGATTCACTTAACAACTGTGTTACTAATTTAACACCTGCGGTGATTCACTTAACTGTGGCAAAAAAGGTTATAAAATGGGGCAAAACTCTCTTAACAAATGTCTCATTTAGGAACAGAAATTTAGGGCTCAACTGTGATCGTAAGTTGAGGACTACCTGTATACATGTAACAAATAAATGAAATTACACAATTACAAGTTATGTCTAGGAGATCAAGCAAACCCATGGTGATTTTTTGAGCGTGCCTGATTAATCTGTGAGTCTAGATCAGGCAGCAAAGCTTGGAAATAACCTGGTATCTAAACTCAGAATTTCAAACAAACTTTGCTGATGGTTAAGGAGTTGCATCTGCAGTATGTAAAGACTGTGATTAGCATTAAATCTTTCACTGTGTATGCTGCACTCAAGAACAACAGATTGAGGCCAAACATTTTCTACGGCAGCTGCATTGACGAAGTTTTTACTGTATTAACTGGGGTGTAAAGAATGGTGGAGGTTTGATAAGTGTTGAAGTTACCCCAGGTCGGATATGCTGGGGAGCATAATTTTTTCCCTCGGAAACAGCAACGTTACTTATGTGGGAACTATCCTGCTTCTGCAACCCTGCTTTATTCTGGAAAGCCAGTGGTTGCTTAATCATAAGTTAGCAAATAGTTGGGTTCAGATGACACGAAGTCTATAAAAGTCAAGGGAGCTTTTGTTCTTGACAGTTTTATAGACTTTGTAACTTGATTACCTTTAACTTCTTCCAGAAAAACTAGGTCACCTTGAAATTGTAGACCCTTCTGTATTCTAACATAGCTCAGATTAATCTTTCCCAGTCTTGTTTGATCAGCTGTTACACGTATAAGATTTAGATGTCTATCTGCAGAAATGTTCTGTAACCCTTTGTTACTAAAGTTTATTTGAAGCACTTTTACCCTGTTTTTAAGGCCAAAAGGACTTCCAGTGCTTCTGAAATTAGCTCTGCTGCCAGACTCGTACTGTAAATATTGTAACATACAGTGATAGTTTGGGTGACTTCATGAATATTCCTTGTAGCTTTTATTTATTTCTTATTTTAAAAAATAACTCTAGATGGCCCGTATACCTAATATTCCTCTTATTTTCCCCACAACAACCACCTTGGGAGGTGGAGTGGGGTGAAAGAAAGTGACTTGCTAAAAGTCACCCAGCCAGCTTTCTTGCCTAAGGCCAGACTAGAACTCACAGTCTCCTGGTGTCTGACACCTTTATCATTAGATCAGTCCCTCGGAATCCATAGGAAAATAATCTGTCTCTGTTTGTAATATTTTCTCAGTTCTTCAGTCCAGTCTACAGTCTGGGAATTCTTGGTGATCTCCCATCCAAAATTCTAACCAGATTGGTCCCTTTTTTTGTCACAGCTCTTTAGAAAAGGAACAAGTCCTGCGGAGGAAAGCAGAACTGGAATCAGCCCAGAGTCGACTTCAGCTGCAGGTCGTGACAGAGGAGTGTAGCAAACTGAAGCAGCAAGTACAGGTAAGATTAGCTGCAGTCATTGAGGCAGGACATCTGTACAGGTAGTCCTCGACTTATGACCACAATTGAGCCCAACATTTCTGTCGTTAAGTGAGACATTTGTTAAGTTAGTTTTGCCCCATTTTAGGACCTTTTGTGCCTCAGTTGTTAAGTGAATCACTGCAGTTGGTAAATTAGTAACCTGCTTATTAAGTGAATCTGGCTTCCCCGTTGACTTTGATTGTCAGAAAGTGGCAAAAGGGGATCATGTGACCCCAGGACTACAAATCACGTGGCCTTTGGGATGCTGTACCAGTTGTAACTGAAAAACAGTCATAAGTCACTTTTTTTCAGTGCCATTGTAATTTTGAACGGTCACTAAATGAACTGTTGTAAGTCAAGGACATCTGTAGTCCATGTCTTTCTCACATGCTTTTTGGAAAAACAAAAGCATTTGTGGGAGAGATTTTTATTGAGTCACCAGCAAAGTTGCCAAGGAGCACAGAGACATTCCTTGGGGCCTGCCTTTCTTTCTTTCTTTCTTTCTTTCTTTCTTTCTTTCTTTCTTTCTTTCTTTCTTTCTTTCTTTCTTTCTTTCTTTCTTTCTTTCTTTCTTTCTTCCTTCCTTCCTTCCTTCCTTCCTTCCTTCCTTCCTTCCTTCCTTCCTCCCTCCCTCCCTCCCTCCCTCCCTCCCTC